CAGTATCAGCATAACAATAACTTTTGCAACTGTCTGATGTTGGGACTGGTTTGTATTGCAAATGTCCTTGTCTAATCTACAGCTCTGTATTAAATAACACATTATCCTATCATGACATTTGGCTTTGCCAAGAGAGTACAATATTTATATGTACATGCCCACAACACTGTATTTCTGACAGAACACTGTATCAATGACAAATTGCAGGTTTGGTAACACAAGTCAGAAAAAGTTTTAAGCGTGCTGGCGTTGGGGAAGTCAGAGGAGCTTGTTTACATATAGAACAATCACAGGAACAGGCAAAATTATTGTGTGCTGATAAATATTGATCTTCAAAATTGTAAACACTTTTGCATGAAGAAGCTGGAGAGCTGCTGTAACAGTTAATTGCTCAATGCTATTTCAAATCAAAATGCAAAAATTGCTTTCAAGATGTGAGCAGCTCTTCACTCATGAGTTGGGACATCTTCAGCTGATGCCATTTGCTCAAGGACAGTCAGCAGATACCTCCAGAGCCAACAGGCTGATGGTCATCTCACACAGACAACACTTCTGCCAGAGAGAAAAAAGTGGGAAGTGCTTCAGCCCTTTCTGGAGTGACCTTGATGTGCAACTTCCCTCTCACCCCTTTGACCTCTGCTTTTTGTATCCTGCCTCTGTCCCCTCTCAGACTCCATGGGAAAACAGTGATTTTGGGTTGTAATCCTACAGCAGCATCTTCTCCCCTGCCCTCCTTTCCATGCTTGCTGTAGTTGATGCATGCATGGGGAGAGCTCCCAGAAGAGTCAGAAATATAGAGGGAAACGGCTCTGAGCTGAGCCCAGGCTCTGAACAGCCAGTTCAGAGTGCCAAGGGCTTGCCTGGGACAGGCTGGAATATCTCACTCTTCCCCGCCCTGAATTTAGTTAGAATGTTTTACAGGCAGTTTTCTATCGAGATGTCGGCCGTGCTATCAACCCACCCCCTCCCCTGCACATAATCAAAATATTTTGATAACCAAAAAATGTCAGGCAATACAGCACATTTTGCAGTAAATAAATACAGCAAATAACTGCAAAGGCAAGGAGGGGAGGACTGGGGAGCTGGTGCCTCTGCTGAAGGCTTCCATCTCCAAACAACAAAAAGATCCTTTAAAATTAGTGTTTCAATAAAAACCACATATTTTCTAGAAAAAAATTTCTTTCTCTCTAGTGAAAGGAAGGAGGCTGATGGGAGGGAATGTCATGCTACTGGTTCACACCTCGAGAGCAGAGCACAGGCCTGGCACAGCCGCGTGTGGGCCCGGCAAGGCCCGGCCGCTCCTCGCGCCAGACAAGGAGCAATTCCATGATCCTCACACCAGATACGTGTGACAAATTGCAATGACAAGGCTGCACTGGCAGGCTGGATGGCGGGTGGTGAAATCCCTGTCCAGACAGTGCTACGCTCCGGGCACTCTTTGAGCCAAAGGAAGGCGGGAGATGCTGCCAAAACCCTACCAGCATGGCCACCACAGCCATCTTCCACACTGCAGAGTGGCTGAGGAGGCTAAGAGCACCAACGGGGCCCAGGAAGCCAAGGCTGGGACTGTCACACCACACACAGAGCTGGGGGAGTTGCGGAACGCCAGGGCTGGTGCACAAGGGCAGATGAAGGAGACATGGAAAGAAACCAAGCACTAACCCACTGTTCAGCCTGGTCACAAGGGACTGAAAGGCTGGAGGAAGGGTTAGTGCAGAAGTCAGAGCTCAGTTTACTGTGCTGGAGGGGTAATGCACTAAATAAAAGACCCTGTTCCCCATCCTACACACCAGGAACCCCGGTTCTGTTCATTGGCAAACACAAGGAGCTGTGGCTGGACCCACACCTGGTCCTTTCCACTGTCCCACCTGCACTCCCTGTGCCCTACACAGACCCCCTTGCCCATGCTAAGCCCAGTGTTAGGATGAAGTCAGGGACTGGCTAGACACTCCTCCAGAAGCAGCAATTTATTAGCCCAGTAGCAGTGGAAAGTTTCCAGGCTGGGCAGGATGCTCGGGCAGTGAGGCCGGCTGGGACTGGGGGCTGCCCAAGGCTCTTGCTGCAACAGGAAAGCAAGGGCAGCATGGCAGCACAGCTCTCAGACCCCAGGGGCTGCTTTTGAAGAGGTGTTTCTCTTCAGCTGTTTGTCCCCTCCAATGTCATTTGTCTTACCAAGAGCCCTCCTCAAAGGACAGGTAACCTCCAAGTTTTTTTCCTTATTCTTCTTGCACTCACAGAAGCAGATGCAAGCCCAGCATTTGGGCTGGTGCTGGGCAAGCAGAATTGGTCTCCTCAAAGAGTTTCCTGCCTTTACCACCAGCGTGCAGCACAGAAGGAGTGGCCACAGCTCAGCCCTGTGACAGGGAACAGAAGCATCTCAGCAGGCCACATTTCAGATGTGTGGTGGGGGATGTTTATTTTTTTAACCAGTTCCATGGCTGCCACCTCCGCAAGGGCATCACATTCTGAGTGTCTGACAAGCCCCAGCCTGGCTGGGTGTCTGTATCCTGAGGCAAGGGAAAACCAGAGGGTCTCAGAGCATCTCCATATTCCCTGGAATGGGACAGAGATGCCCCGAGAGCCAGGGGACAGTGACAAACGGGACCCAGGCAGGGCCCCCACAGGTGTGCCCGTGGGAGGGCGAGCAGCAAACAGCTCTGCTGGGGTATTTTGGGCTTTTTGTTTTCAGCCCCAGTGATCCGTGGGGTGCATCTCTGCTCAGCAGCAGCAACCATACAGCATCCATCTGCAAAAACACCCCAGCAAACAGAACCCCTCGCCCTCCCCCCGGTCTCTGTGAGCAGCATTCATTCCTCGCTCTCGCTGTAGATCCGGCATGCCGAGTCCTTTCTCCCCAAGAGTATTCTCCCTTTACAAAGCAAGATCATAAAGCAGTGACATAATCCAAGTTTGGCAAACACTTCTGCTGATGTTAAGCCAGTGCCTTTCGTGGTTCTCACTGCAGCTTTTGAGGCCATGATATACATGGCGCAACCAGCTGATTAAATGTGCAGGAGCCTCCCAAGATACCATTTCATCCGAAACGCTGACATTTATATTTGACTTCCAATAAGTGTGGGGCGCTTTTTAAAAAATTTTTAATTAGTTCTCACAAGGGTGGGAGTCAGACACAGCTACACAATGAAGTTCTCCATAGAATAGGTATGATTCAACCAGATGACTCCTGGCCAGACTTCCTAACCCATCTACCTTGCAGTGGAGCCTCGAAGCCAAATTAATTAGAGGCCACCCACAAGTAGATGTGATTCTGTGTAGGTGAATCTCTTTGCCCATTCATTCCCTACCACATCTGCTGAGATCTCAGCATTCATGCTAAGGGTGAGTGGGAGGGCTCTGGTGCTAAATAAATGACTCGATTCGTTTCGTTTTGGCACCAAGACTTAGCCAGCCAGTGAGGCCGAGTAGTAAACAATAGTAATGTGGAAAAAAAGTTTAAAAAAAAAAAGAAGCAGCATATAAGATGCCTCAATGAAGAGGTGTGATTGTTGGCAAAATGTGTCCCATTTGAGTTTATGGGATGTACAGAGTCTTTTTATTAGGGATACTTTTTGCTATTAGCGTAATAAAAAAGGACCAATTGTTTCTGCCATCTGAGAAAACTCTTGGTGGAACAGGCATAAATCCAGGAATAATTAAGAAAATAATAGTGCACACCCAACAAGAAAAACATTATTTGTTTAAAGATGAAGTCCCTCTAGAATACTTGGTAGTGATTGTGTTTCTTTCAAAAGAGGGGGAAAAACCCTTCTAAATGAAAAGCAGCAGCCATCAACTCATCTCTAAGATCTCGAGTGGAAAAAGCGTGGGGCTGTAATCCCCCTCAGTGGTGAGGCTTTTCCGTTTTCATCGCTCTTATCAGCCTTTGCAAGTTGCAAAATAAAAGTGTTTTGCCCCTACATGTTTCCATCAGAGGATCAGAAGCACTTCACAAAGCAGAATTAATTGAGCTTCGCTGCTTCACCTGTGAGAGCAGAGCAATTATTTAGCAACAGGGTTTGGGGGGTTTTTTGCTGTTTGGGGTGGGGGTAGAAATAAAAACTGCAGGAAGAATTCAAACCCACCAGGCCAACAAGAGACTTGGCAGCTTTAACCACTTCCAAAGATGAATGTGACAAATCCGCAAGTTTCTGACCACCAGATCTGGGTTCTCCTTTTGGAAGGCAACATTTTGCCTCAGCATCACTTTTCCCAGGCCTCAGCTTGCCAGGCTCCCCGCTGGCACAAATCACCATTCTCCCAAGTTCTGACTCCTCACATTTAAAAGTCTCTGGAAAACCACATCTCCAAAGAGCCCATCCTCCCTGGGAGCGTGTCGTGGTGCCATCGCACACCCAGGATTGCACTGTGGGCTCCGAAATCCTGCTCCCATTGCTCCTGTGTGACTCCGGGCAGGTTATAAGGCTGTGCCGGCTGGACGTGGGGAAGCTTGCAGGTTGGAGAAACGCAGACTGAGAATCAGAGCTTGTGGAGAACTTAGCATCACAGTAACGGGGGGAAAAGAGAACAGTTTTAAGTCTCGTTCTGGTGTCGTGTGAGTGCATGGACAGAGCCACACTGAGTAACAAGCCATCAGCTTTTCCCCGAGTGGGGCTGGAACAGCATCATCCATTTCCCGTCTGGGTTACAAGGGGCCATAAACCCCGGACAGAAGAGCCAGCGAAACGAACTGGCTCGCACGAATGGCGAAGCTGAGCGTCCCCATCGCTCCCGCGCGGCTCTCGTGTTTTACATACATCTGTTTACTTTTCCCCTAACTGAGGTGATTTTTTCTCTGCACGCGGCTTGCGGGGGCGCGGCCGTCCCGGCTCACCGCCCCGGACTGGGGGCAGGTGAATGCTCGCCCCGGCGCTCCCCGCAGCCGCTGCCCGGCAGGCCCCGCAGGCAGAGCCGAGCCGAGCCGAGCCGAGGCGTGCCGGGGGAGGAGTCGCCCAGCCCGGCCCGGCCCGGCCCGCCCCCGCTCCCAGCAGCCTTTGCAGCCGCCTACAATGAAATTTGCGAAGTTTTTTCGGTTTCGGCGCCATTTTCGAGTGGACTCGGAGGTGAGGCGGGAGGGCGCGCGGGGCGGCGCGGCCGGGGCGCGGCGGGGGCGGCCGGCGGCTTTTTTAATTTTTTTTTTTCTTTCGAGCCGCGCCCGCCCCCCGCAGGTGGGGCTCGGGGTTGATTTTTCTTCTTCTTCTTTTTTTTTTTTTTTATTTTTTTTTTTTTTTTTTCCCGTTTCCCTCTTTTTTAAACCGAACGCGGGGCACCCCGCGGTCTGCCGGCCCGGCGCGGAGTCTGCGCGCCCCCGCACGTAGAAAACAGTTTTACGCGTTTAAAAAAGTAATGCTGGTATAACCAAAGAATAATTCTCCGAAATAATTTAAAATGTTAAAGAAAATCCAACCGGCAGTCAGCTTTTGCTTTTTTTTTTTCTTTTCCCCTCGCTGGTTGCTCGCTTTGTACAGGAAATTTGAATATCCTGGCAAGGGCCAGCTTCCCAGGGCAGCCTCGCAGCTCTCTGGGAGCTGCAGTGATGGAGCAACATGCACAGCGCTGAGACTTTTCCCTCTGTAATTTATCCTGTGTACAATATTTTTCCCGTATATGCATCGGGTATATAAAGACAATTTTTTTGCATTTGGAGAATGAGTTTTCCAAGGTTAAATCATTAATTGCTCCCCCCAAAAACCAGAAATTCTGCTTGTGTGTCTTATGCGTGTTAAGTGTAGGTGAGGGACCAACTGCCAAGTTTCATCATCTTCTGTTCTGAAGAAATCCAGAGAACTCACCGGCAACTGTGAAAGTCTGTATTTAGTTAATCGACTTTGGTGGGAAATACAGTAAAACTCAGCTGCTAATGCAGTAAACGTTTTTGAAATATAAGAGGGAAGATTTAAGTAATGCTTCACGCAAACTTAACCCAAATCTAAAAAGGAAAAAAAAAAAAACCTGTGTGCTTATGTTTTGAATTATTGTTCATCTGACCAAAAAAAGAAATAGGTTTTTTTGTTTGGCTTTTTTTCCTGTTCTTAACAAATAAACTTTATAGAAATTGGGCTTCCAGATATGACCCTTGTTGTTTAGAACTGGATGAGATGACAATGCTAAAACTTGGAAGTAACAAAAAGCATCATACTTTTCTTCTCCTCAGCAGTGTTGAGAAAAAACTGTGGATCCTGGAATTTTACTGTGGATTTTACTGGTTTTCTGGAGTGCTGTAAGTTGAAGTCTCGTCCCACAGGCCTTTCCAAGCACCAGTAGCTCCCTGTCCCACTAACACCCCCGCCTCGGTAAACACAGCTGATCCTGCTGCTAACAACCTCGGGCTCGAGTTTCACAGCGAGTGAAGTTAACGAATTCATTTTTTGCCTTATTTCAGTCTGCCCTTTGTAGCTGCAGTTTGGTCTCGGGTGCTGTGCCCCACCTCGGAGCGTGTCGATGGCGTGTGGTTTAGCGCGGGGAAGGTGCGCCGAGCTGGAGGGAAAACGTGCTGGGCTCTAGCCGAACTCTCTGCTGCCTCCCTGGCCCTTTTATGGGCAAATTAGCGAGGAAAAAAAAATTATTTTTGGTGGAGCGCGTGAGGAACGACTCGCTCTCACATGGCTTCGACAAGAACAGGCAGGAAATAGATTTTCTGCCTTGGTTTTGTGCCCCCAGGAGTGAGTCGTGGCTGGGCAGAGCGGCGGTGCTGGGTGATGGGGAGATGCACAAATGAAAGCGGCTTGGCTGCGTGCAGCTCCCACTGCCCGGGCTCCTCCACAGCCCTGCGAGGCAATTCCTGCCGGGAATGGCAGGGCTGGAGCCATGTGGTGGCTGTCGATCAAGCAGCGCCTCTGATCCCGGCCGTCGGCCACATCTGTAAATATTCGGACGTGACTTTGGTTTAAACCTCATTGTTCAGAAGGAGGCAGCAACGAAAGTGTTGGGATTTTTCAGAGGCAGGCAGATATGAAGTGTTCTGGTGGCGTTACTCACACCCTTATTTTCGTTTTGTCACCGTAAATTTGCCTCGCTGATGAGTGCCTGGGACTTTCAGCTGTAATGAGATGATTTACTTTAGTCTTTTTGTAAAATAGTAAATGCCCTTTTTTTTTTTCAATTGTTTCAAATGAGAACAATGACTTCAGGATTTGTTTGTGCATGTCTCCTAGAAATTGTTGGTTAGCAGAGCTGGGGTTTTTGTTCCTATTTTTTTCTATATATAGGAAATGTTTAATATTTACTTGTCGTTGAGCTCACCTAGTTGTGAAATGTGTGGGTCAGTAAAGGCTCTGTATGCAAATCTGTCCTGTCATGGACTCCTGTATTTATTTACTTTCCTTTCCCGTGGCACTCCTTCTCACATTTTTTCCCTTCTCTTTTTTTTCTGGTTAGTGTCAGTGAGGAGGGATGAGGTTGTATTTTAAGGGAATCCAGTATTTCAGAGGGAATTTGTCTTAGTTTTTTGTGTGTGTTTGGGATTGGAGGGGGGGGTGTTTTTTACTTAATTGCCCAATATACTTTGGCAAGCAGAAGTTGCATAGTTTTGTGAATTGCATTAATGGTTTTCTGCATGTTCAAATTCCCCAGTTATTTGGGGGATTTAATTAAACCTCTGTAGGTGGCTGGCTTACGTAGATGACAGGTAGAAGTTTCTATTTCTAGAAGGAGCTGGTGCACACACTGCAGGCGTGGAGCTCCTGGCAGCAGAAGGGCTGTTGCAGGGCTTTTGCATTGAGGCAGAGCTTTTGGGGCAGTTCTTCTCGTGTTTGGGGTTACCAGTGGGCAGGACACCCCTGTTCTGGCTGTAGTGAGGTGCTGCTTGGAAGCTGAAGGTGCTCCTGGGATGACAGTGAGGGAGGGCACTTGTGGTGTCACCACAAAAGCATCAGCCCCCAAACAGCCTCTCTGCATCTCATCTCCTGCCCTAGGCCTGGTTTATCACCTAAACCAGCATAATTAAGATGTTTCCTTTGCTTTTAGTCTGCCAGGACCAGTAGAGTTGTTCTTGCTGCTGCTTTAGGGAGGAAGGTGCTGGCCGTGGTTGTGCTCAATGGCTTTCCCACCAGCCCAGAGCTGCCCCTGGTTTTTCTGGCTGTCTCTCCTTGCTCCACAGCACCTGGGTGGTGATTTGGTGTGCCTTGGGTGCCACTGCCCAGGGTCACACTGAGCCAGTGGTGCCAGGAGCCCCAGCTGCAGGCATGGGGAGGATGGAGAGAGGAGGGATTTAATTACTCTGCTGCACAGTCTGTCCTATCTGGAGCTGAAAACTTGATCTATTTATTTTTTTCTTCCCTAATGTTAAAAATACTTGTACCTGTCTGTGTGTGCCTTGGAAGGGGACGTGCCCAACAGCCCTGGTCCCCCTCCTGGAGCTGCCCCTCTCTGCCATTCCTCTCAAACCCTTTCTGTTGCTTTGCAGCTCCCACTGAAGCAGCAGTCTGGCTCTCCAGAGTGGCTGTGCAGGAGCTGATGTGCCTGTGTTGAGGTGAGTTGGGAAGGTAAGCTCACGTCCCACCTGCTCCAAAATACCTGCAGCATCTGTGTCCCTCTGGGTAAATGCAGTCCCTCTGACACACATGTCCCTTCTTGGTACTGCAGGTAATACCTGGGAGATGCTCAGGTGAACTCAAATTACCCTGTTCAGCTGGCAATTTCTGATGTAAAGTTGAGTTTACAGAGCACAAACTAAGTTTGAAAGAAGCTGAAGTTGGAGATGGGATAATTCAAGCATGGAACTTTTTATTGCATGAAATATTGATGCAGTCATGTCATAAACGTGCATATTTTCTCAGATATTTGCCTATCCCAAATTTCCAGTTACCCAACACTTGGTGTGACTGTTGATTTCCCCTCTGTGCTAGAGGCTGGTGGAGGTGTATTGAACCCTTGCTTTAAAAATCCTCCTTACTGAAAAGAGCTCTTGCCCTTGTTGAACTAGGCAAAAGTCTGGTTTATATAAATATAAAAAACATTAATTAAAATGTAAACCTCAGGCCACTATCAAAATGGATTCTAAAGCTGAACGTGTTTGCTGTTGCTTTTTTCTTTTGGATTCATTTGAAGAGATGAAAGAAATAAGATTGCACAGGTAGAGTCGAGTAAAACATCGTTGCAGAAGTAATTAATGGTAATATTTTGTGGGGGGTGTTTTGATTTAGCTGGTCCAGGCTGAACACTGGGCACGTGTTTGCTTTGCAGCAAGTAGCAGCTGCTCATGAGGGAGTTGGCCCTGGTGCTGTCAGTGTTGAGGACACTGAAGTGGTGAAAATATACTGTTTTTTTGTTGGCAAATATTTGATTTCAAATTTGAAATTGCTTGGCATGAGTCACGAGAGCTTTTGAGAATCCTATTTTTAAGTTTGCAGGAGAGGCAGGGACTCGGTGGCGCGTCGGGCACGAGGGGATGGCACAAGAATTCAAACCCAGGGCGTCATTTCTGACATTGTTCAGGTTTTTTTGTGATGCTGCTTTTTAAGAAAATGAATTGAAGGAAGTTGTCCCATAACTGGTGGGGCGGGGGGGTTGAAGGTTGAAAGGAAATACAAAAAATATCAGTCTGTCTGCACGGCTCCTGTGCAGCCCAGGCAGGCTGGTGTGTGAGTGCCACTGGCTGCAGCCCCTCCCTGCCCTGCTCTGGTGCTTTCTGCTCTGGTACAGGCAGGAAATGTGATGAAGTTCCAGAGATCTTTAATTTCTGATCATATAAGGCTTGTCCATTCACATGGTAAATAAGCATTTTATACTCGTCTTAAAAATAAGGATTTTTTTTATGTTTCTCAGAAGTCAAATTGAGCTGAATGCAAGTATTTTAAGCAAAATTTAACAGGTTTCAACTGTTGGAATATGGATTTATTTATCTGAAATGTTAACATTGTGACTTCTGGAAAATCCATAATGTTCAGCATCACTTAAGAGGAAAGTACAAGGTAATATTTCCCCACAGACCAGTTGGAAGGGCTATGAAGTTCTGCAGGCTCTTCACAGTAGCAAAAGCAACAGATCTTCTGGATCTAAAAGTGTGCTATTTGTTGGGACTCAATACTAAGTGTGGTTTGGGGGAAACAGGTAATTTCTGACCTTGTTTCTGAAATTGGTTTGTTTGCACTGTATAACTGCTTGTTCTCTTATAGTTACAGACTGTCTGATAGCACCTGTGAAGAAAAAACCCTGTCCTGTGGTGGTAATGCATGCATGTTAAATGTCTTCATTGTAGAGCGTTCTTCAGTTCTTTATATCATGGCTTAAAAAAAATTATATATATATATATTCAAAATACCATTTGGAATGTCAACATTCAGTGGGCTTTGAGGAGATGTAGCAGCACATCATGGTTTGTAGGGACAAGGAGATACAGACCATTCTGGGCTGCCTCATTACCTCAAGGATAAGACAAGACAGTGAGCTTCTGGTTATCATAGATGTGGAAGCTAACACATTCCCATGTATTCATTAGTTCAGGTATGTGGAGACACGTTCTCTTGGTGCTTGTACTGTGCACATCCTTTACATCCCCTGGGAGCTCCTGTGTCTGGCCCTGCAGGCAGGAAGGACTTGCAGCTCCTTTTTGTTCTCCAACACGAGCATGACCACATCCTATATATCCACATCCTCAGCTATTGCTCTTTGGGCCTTTCCCTGGCCAAGGATCAGCCAAGGGACCCTTGCCCTGTGTTTGGGGCAGAGAGGGGGGTCTGGAGGCCGTGGAGAGCTGTCAGCAGTGCTCTAGCAGCACGTAAATACTGGAGTTTGGGATTGCCTGTTGCTCTCCAGTATTGCATTGCTGCTTTAGTGAGGCTGGAAATCTGTCCCTGCCGCAGGGCTCTGCCTCTTGGGGTCCCTCTGTGGCACCCCCACGGTGCTTCCCACACTGCAGGGGCCCCTGACTCCCACCCCAATAAACCCCACACTGCAGGGGCTCCTGGCTCCCACCCTCATCATCCCCACACTGCTGGGGCTCCTGGCTCCCACCCCAATGACCCCACACTGCAGGGGCTCCTGGATCCCACCCCAATAAATCCCATGCTGCAGGGGCTCCTGGCTCCCACCCTCATCATCCCCACACTGCTGGGGCTCCTGGCTCCCACCCCAATGACCCCACACTGCAGGGGTTCCTGGCTCCCACCCCAGTGACTCCCCTCCCACCCCAATAAACCACTGCGGAGGCAGCAACCAACGAGGGCTTGGTGTGGTCAATGGGGAAGGGCAGGGGCTGCACCCCAGCACTGCTGCTGGGTACCCACTGTCACACCTGGGGAGGGGGTGTGGGGGACATTGGGGGGTGCAAGGGTTGGTGGGGAGCAGAGATTCAGCTGGGTGAGAGGGAGGGACACTCGTTGTGCCTGGGGTGCTCAGGGGGAAGCTCTGCTTTCCCCAAATTTCTGCAGCTGTCCCTCAGGTACAGCTGGCACACTTGGGCCATGGTGGAGAAGGTTTGGAGCACCTGAGGCTTTGCCTGCAGACCCACCACTGCAGCAGTGATGTCCCCAGAGCCGTGCCAGCCCCGTGGTGAAAGGTTTTTCCTTAGCATTGCGCCACTTGAGGCTTCCAAACCCTGCTGGAATAGACACAAGGGCCACCACAGAGTCAGGAATGCTCCTGGGAAGGGCTGGGGTGGTGCCTGCCTGCTCAGATTCATCTGCTATGGTGTGAATGAGCCTGTCAGTCCTGCCAGTGATGGTGCATCGTTAACAGCCCCAATCCAGCAGCCTCCTGGTGGCTGTGAAGTCCAGAACATTTGTTTTTTCAGCTATTTTCAGGAATTACTAAATCACAGCCAATAGTTGTAGGGCAGGGGGGAATCCTCACTGATTTACAGCTTCAATCCCTGCTCCTGCTCTGTGCTGCACTGTTGGAGCATCAGCAGGAGGAACACAAATGTCTGTGGCATGAGGAGGTGCAAGGGGGTTGTGAGTGCGGAGGAGCAGCTTTTAAAAGCCTCTGCCCTCAAAGGGGGCAAACTCACAATGTTTGGGCACGCAACTGATGCCTTCTAAACCAGACACTGGTATTCTTCCACTTGTAAAAGGGTTCATTTCCATTCTCAACAAGTGAAGCTATTAATTGCCAAGTCCCATACTGTTTTTCCTCAAGAAAATAACTTGATGAGTGACTTGGTTAACAGGGAAATTGGTCAATAAAGTTGGTAATTGTACATTTATATTAATTTTGCATCACTTTTTTTTTAAGAAAGGTTTCTACTGATATGTACAGGTGGAGTGTAAGATTTAAAATTTCTTTTACTTTTTTTGGGCCGTTTCTGTTGTGGTCAGTTTGATTTTCCTCAGCTAGAAACAGACACTTTCGCTGTGTTCACAAGCTGAAGACTCCTGCTAGAGCTGCTTTCAGGTATCAGTGTCCTACAGGATCAAAACAGGAATAATGGGAGAGTAAAAGCACAGCAGAGTTTGTGGAACAGCTGGCATGAATAAAATACAGAGGCAGTAGGATCCCAGGGGCCAGGGACATGTCCCCATGGAGGTGGCAGTGCAGGCTGTGGCAGTGCAGGCTGTGCCAGAGCCAGCAGCGAGGGCTGAGCATGCAGGACAGGGCTCTGCTCCTGCCTGGCTCCCAGGACCTCCTTCTGTGTCCCTGCACTGCTCTGATACTTCAGGGTATTGCCAGTTATTAACACAGAAGGTCCAGGGGACAGACATCAGTTGTGCTTTTCTCTCTGGGAAGCTCCTGTCATTTTTTTTCCTGAGGTGTAGAAATCTGCCTTTGCCACAAGTGCAAGTTGGCTTCTCTACTGCATTTGAGCACAAACCATGTGGGAAAAAAAAAGCACTAAATGTCTTTGCAGAGCATCCCTGGGCTGACCAGTCCCCCACAGAGCCACACTGTGACTCTTTGAGGTGTCTGCAGAGGGGCAGCAGCACAGGCAAAGCAGCCCAGGTAATCTTCTTTGTCCATGTAGGATAAGGCAAAATGTGTGGTTTTTTGTTTATGTGTGAAATTTGCTGTGTCAGGAATGCATGTGACCACTGTAGAGGAAAAGTCTTTGAGTTCCCTCAGTAGTTTTTGCTGTGATTTTATAAACAAGCTGGAAGGCAGCAGTTCCCTGTGGTAGGTGAATACGTGCAGCACATCATCACACTGCTGCATGGCTGCTGGGCTTAGGAGATCATCATTGAACAAGTCTCTAATTCACACGTTTCTACACTAATCTTTTTTTTTTTTTTTAAATTTCCCCCAGACCAAAACTCTCCCATGTACTAAGACTGAGGTTATGTTGCTCTGCCCACAGTACCAGGTACCTCCATTAGAGGTGTGGGAGCCAAAGGAGGTGTTGCAGATTCCTGTAAACACTGGAAAAGCAACCCAAAAAGCCTCCTTATCTACCTTCAGCCTTTTCCTCTTCACCTCCTTTGATGCAGAAGGAATTCTTGGCAAAGGCTGCCAGCTCATTGTGGTATCCAGCACTGTCTTGCTTTTCTTGCACTTCTTGCCCACCCACCTCATTTGCTTTCCCTCAGCTCACATGCAGCGTGCTGGGAGCCAGCACTGCCTTTGGCAGGTGTTTGTGCAGTGCTTGCACCACAGCAGCTCCCAGTGCCTGCTGTGAGTGACTTCAGGTCTTGCTCTTTGCACCACAGAAACCTTTCACGTGTCTCACTCTCTCTTTGCAGGGTAGGAGACCCTGGCTGGGTACCCAGCTGTGCAGCTGCCCCCAGCACAAAGCTGCACAAAGAAAAAAGTCCTGGGTTAAATGAGATGTGGCAGGTATCAGCCACATGGCAAACAGAAGCCAGCTCACCTCCCCCGTGAGGGTTTGCTAAAGTGACAATGATGACCAGTGCAAATGATGGCTCTGACACCCTGATGCCACAGTGGTTCCTGGCAACACACTCACCAAATGGAAAAAAACCACAAATTGAAGTATTTTATTTTCTGAAGCAAAGTGTAAGACGTTGCTCTCCACAATATCTCACATAAACCCATCCTTGTGGCTGTTCAGGATACTGAAGGTTACTCAAACTGTGATTCAAGCAGAGCATATATTCATTTATAAACTGTCTAGGGTAAGTTGTCATACCATGTAGTGTGTGTGAGAAAATAGCTTCTGAAAATAAAGAAATTGAGTGTGCAGGACTGCCAGGTAAGGTCTGATGGCCGGGAGGGGACTGGAGGTGTGGAAGATGCAGCTCAGCAAGAAGGGAGCTGTGATTATGCTGTACTAGAAAGCACAGGGTGGTTTTCTAATTTCAAGTTAAGGAGTTCACACCACAGAAGATATTTCTACCTTTATTTTGTATTCTCTGATTGCTACAGGGTGTTTTACGTTTTGTGAATGGAGGACTAAAAATTGTCATGAAAAGAAACACGGGAGGAAAAATCTGCTAAAGGCACATCAATAAACATTTCGAAGCTCTCTCTCTCACACACACGCACAGACACCACATTTCCCTGCTCCTCCCTGCCTTGGGGTTGGCTTAGTCACGTCCCAGTTCCTCAGATGGGAAACAGGCAAGCGAAGCATCAGCATCGCTGCTCTGGCACTTCCCGGGGAGAAGGGTTTTATCCCGCTCCAACCTGCCAGGGACAGCCAGGCCAGCCCCTCGTGCTCTGCCGAGCTCCCAGGCGGAATTCCCTGCGGGCCGGGGGCTCCGGGGCGAGCCCAGCCCCACCCCGCCATCCTCACCCCTTCCCTCGGGCACAATCCATGCGGACACGCGGGGCTGGAACAGGCGAACTAAGCAGGGTTATTTCACTGCCACGGGTAGCAGAGTATCGTGGGAGAACACATTTTGCCTAAGTCTTCTGAAAAAAACATCCTGTAGCATTCCCACAGGTGCTGCTGAGATTTCAGGGTTGTAAATCCGGCACCAAAAGCAGAGCTGGGGCTGGAGCTGGAAATAGCTGATTCCTTGTCTATACAGACAGACAGTAACTACTGGGGTATTCCCCTGATTGTGAAGGGCTGGGGAGGGGAATCACAACTTGTGACAGGGCACAGACTGGGAATGCCCTCACACATCCCTAATGCCCAAAGCTGGATCTTACAGGAACCATGATTTGCTAGAGTTCACCTGGAGAGGTGCAGGAGACACTCGAGGGCTGGTTCCCTTTCTGGTTACAGTGGGGACAAAATAAAGATGCCACTAATAATGATTGTTAGATAAACACCAGCCTCTTCCTGCACCTTGATTTATTCACCATCACTGGCCTGTTTCTCCTACCTGGTTCCACAAGGATTTCCACCTTCCAAGATGAAGTTTCAAATCATCACTTGGTGTTTACTGGAGCAGAGCCCACACACAGGAGGCATTTGCAGCCAC